TGTCAACACCGGTTTCAAGTTGGACAGATTCACCGGTTTAGATTGGACACTCGGCTACACGGATTGTCTCCTCGTCAAGCTGCCGAAAGCTTCCTSAATCGGATGCCTCCGGCGGGCTCGAAAGCTCAATCCCCCCTCTCAAACCCAGCCCACGGAGCAGAAGACAGCTCGGAGACGCAGATGTCGACGTGACGTCCACGGGCTGATGTGTTTTTGTTTCTCTTCAATCGTCGAAAGATGATGGACGCGGTGTCAGGCCCGCTTTTCGGTGCTCGCGCAGCCGGTAGCTTTCTCCTTGGATATTCAGGGTCACGGAACGGTGCAGGAGGCGGTCCAGGATAGCCGCGGTCATCACTTGATCCGGCAGGATGTCTCCCCAGGCGCCCCAGCTTTTGTTCGAGGTGACGATGATCGGTTTGCAGCGCTCGTAACGTTTGGCCACGACCTCGAAGAGGAAGGTGGCTTCCGGCCTTTCCAGAGGCGTGTAGCCGATTTCGTCGAGGATCAGAAGCCGGGGGCGGAGCAAGGTGGAGAGCAAGCGRTCCTCGCGATCCATGCGACGAGCTTTCTTGTGACGGAGCACCAGATCGTGACAGGCCAAAAAGCTGATTCGGTGGCCCGCCTCCAAGGCCTTCATAGCGAGACCCACCGCGAGGGCGGTTTTGCCGACGCCGGGTGGCCCGAGCAGCAGGAYGTTGGTGCCCTCTTCAAGGAATCGGAGGGTCGCCAATCGGCCGACCAATTGCGGATCGATGGACGGCTGAGCTTCGAATTCGAAGGCGTCGAGGCCTTGACGATAGGGCAAGCCGGCGAATTTGAGGTTGGCCTCGACCCGACGGACATGGCGGGCCGAGAGCTCGATGTCGAGCAGACGGCTCATGGTATCGATCACACTCAGCTTTTCGACCCGAGCTGTTTCAAGCACGTTGTCGAGTGCGGCCAGCGCCGCGGACATCTCGAGCTTTTCGAAGCCTGTACGGACTTTTTCGTAGATCAGCTCGCTCTGCATCAGGCCACCTCATCGAAGACGTCGAGGGAGCGTTCTTCGACCACGGGTGCCTCGGGCAGGGATCTCGACGTCTCTTGACCTGTCGTCGCCCCCACGTCCTGGTCGAGACCGGTTTGGCGAAATCGAGGGGTCTTGCCCCTGGGTCTTTGAAAGCTCGGCTTTTCACGTAAGCGGCGCCGTGCTTCGGCGTGTAACGGATTCTCTTGGGGYGGGCTTCCGGACGGCCTGAGGGCGTGCTCTCCGATCAGACGCTCACCGCAATGGATGCGCAGGCGCTCGTCCGTCGACACCGAGACCGTCACCTCGACACCGCGGCGCCGTCCGACGACGATTTCGGGATCCACCGAGTAGCGCACGCCTCGAAACGACAGGAACGCGTCGTGATCCACCAACCGAGTTTCGCGCTCCGCCGCYGGAAAGGCTCGTTCTTGAACCGGTCGCATACGCTCGAGATCCGCCGCTAGGCGATCCACCGGACGCTCACCGGTGGTGCCGTGAATGCGTACGTTCGCCGTGGTCGCCAGCCAGCTGCGAAGCTGCGCGTTCAAATCGTCCAGGTTCTCGAATGCGCGTCCTTCGAGAAAGCTGCCCTTGATGTAGGAAATCGCCCGTTCCACCTTGCCTTTGGCCCGTGGCCAGTAGGGCGGGCACGCCACCACCTCGAAGTTCCAGTGGTCGGCGAACGACACGAATTCAGCCTGCAAGCGAGCCGGCGCATCCGGGGTTCGCGCCACCTCGACGACCTGCTTCATGTTGTCTACCAGCAATTCACGGGGCACACCCCCGAGATCCCGAAACGCCTCCTCGAGCAGCTCGAGAAGGATCGGACGGCGCTCCGACACCACGAATTTGCCCCAGATCACTCTCGAGTATCCGAGAACCAGCACCAAAAGGCTCAAGTARCGCCGTCGGCCCTCGTGGAGGATCGTGCCGCAAGACGCCCAATCCAGCTGGCCTTGGCGTCCCGGATCGGTCTCGAAACGGTCCACCAAACGCTGAACATGGCGTCCCTTCACCTCCGCCACAAACTCTCGCAGGATCGTGATCTTACCCGAATACCCTTTCTC